TCCGATCTGGAAAAACAATAACGGCAGATGTCTACGGTGCCGAACTTCGAACAATGATAGCAAAAATTGCAGTGAAACAGCCCCGACTCATAAATCGATCTTCACCATTATTGCTCCATGACAACGCGAGACCTCATACAGCACAAGAAATTATTTTAACTCTACAGGAACTGCAATTAGAAACATTCGTCACCCAACGTATTCGCCAGACCTTGCTTCAACGGAATTACCATTTTTTTTTGTGATTTGGACAATTTTCTGCACGATAAAAAAAATTCTTCCCAGGAGGTAGTACAAAATGCTTTCACAATGTTTGTAGAATCTAGACCACCGAGTTCTATCGGAAAGGCATAAATAACCTTCCCATTAGATGGCAGCAATGTATAGATAATAATGGTAGATATTTTGATTAAATAAATACATATGTTAAATGAAAAAAAAAAACCCTAATAAATCAGTTACCCTGGGAACTTAATCGAATTCCTGCATATTACATTCCAAGGTTTCATTTAGCGCAGCCTATTATTGCAGGTAGGCTTAGTCATTGACTTAACTTTGAAACTCAGTTGTTTGTTTAATTTGCAATTTGCATACGAGAGATTAATGATTTGTTTCCGTTGAACAAGCGAATATGCATCCTGCCCTCACAAGTTTACATACGACTGCATATTACAGGGAGTGTTATCAATAATAATATCGTATGTCAGTTAACAACGAAATTGTTTAGATGATATTATAATAACACATGCCCATTCATTGTTAACCATTTAAATTTTAATACCGCGATCGAATTTTCACTTTGATTCCGAAAGCAAGTGTTGAAATTGTTAGATCCAGAATTCTATGAAGACGCTATGCCAGTTGAAAGTAGTAATCGACAGGAACAACCAAACATATCCGCTGAGATGCAACTCGATACGTTTACTAGTATGACTGAAATATACAAGAGTATACTTTATTTGTGCGTACGTAATGAGAAGCTACGGAAAAAGCTTCAAAATATTTATATAGGTACATTTTGACTTAGATACGTAGTGATTTACTTATTAATAGCTGCCTGCTATTACCGAAGAGCAAACCGATGAAATTGACTGATAGAATTTCAGTAATAATTAGTTATATGTACCTAGAAAACTTATAAACTAGTAATTATGGGCAAGATCAGTCAATATATTATTGGAAAACTTATGTTAATGCCTTCTACTAAGATTTTAAATGTGAAAGTTTGCGAGAATGGAAAGAGTAGCCCTTACACACGAAAGCTAGTTGACGAATTTTGACTTCGTAATACTTCGTTCGTTGATTTCACAATGTATACCAGAACAGCATATTATATAGTCATAGTATATTATATACTATAGTAAAATGACGCACATTTCCATGAAATTGGTTTTTTCTGTATATTTGGCAAGATTCAAAGCAGAGCATGACCGGGATTTACTGTTATTTCACATTGTCTAGACCAGAATCAAATGCTTTCCAGAAGCCTAACAACAATGTGTCTATACTTATATGCTTATAATACTGTTTGACATATTGATATAGTAAGGAAATATGCCAACAACTTGCTTTTTTAAATTATTGTGTTTTATTAACAAACCCATAGCAAGGCATTAAATGATTCGCTGGTCAAGTGATCGTTGTCAAAAGGTTAAATTTAAAATTTGAAATATATTTAGCCATTGTCAAAATTATGTCAGGATTTGGAAGTAGCAAATGTATTAATTATTGCAAAATTGCAATAGAAAGTTGCATTTACTATTTTTATATCAAATTTAATTAAGAATTACATTGTTTTTAATTTTCCTTTATCCTATTTACTCAGGAAAGCAGGAGCAGAGATTTTTAAGCAGATTCAGGGAAAATTGATGATGTTTTGGGCAGTTGTGAGAAAAACTGGTTTTATCTAATTCAAGACCTTACTACTAAGACTCCATATTGAATAACAAGGTTGAAGAAAAATCTAATTCTTTTATTAAGTTAATTTATATCACATTCCTTTAAATTAAATGTCACAGATAAAGACAATATATTCAAAATCATATAAAATAATTCATGTTCTATTATGTTTTGATAGTAAAATTTTAGGGTGGTCAGAAGGTTACTCTGATCTTCAGTGGGTCACCTTGATATTGAATTATGAAATACTAGTTTCAAATGACATCTCACATCTTATGAATAAGATTACCTATTAGTTACTTAGTTGTGACAATTTTTTTTCAATAAGCAATAAAGAAATACATGATCCAAAAGTGTATACAAATGTTTTTATATTAGTGATACATATAAATTAAATATATATGTTTAAAAAATTTCAATAAGCAGTCGCTTGGCAATATTTTAAAATTTTAACTGCATGGGTACTTCTGTTTGTTTGTTTTGAAATATGAATACACACCTCAGGTAATTTAGTGGTACATTCTTCAGGCTCCGGTGTTGAAGGTTTTGACTGTTCAGCTGGTGGATTGGAAGTAGTTGAATCATTACTATCCTCATCTTCAGAGACCAGAGGTTTCTTCCTTCTTGAGACCTTTCCACGGTTACTAGAACTTGGCAGTGGACGCTTACGACTTGCCGTTGACATGTTTTATTCTTCAAAGAAAACAAAAGTTATTTTTTTACAATTAAGGGTGTTTGTTTTAGAGATGAATTTTTCAAACTAAATTTTTGATTTATCATACTGGTAAGAAAGTTATTATAATAAATGTTGTGTTCATCGATACATTCTTTAGATTTAATTTAAAAAGTATCTAGTATAAACTATAACATAATGGTTTATTGAATTGTAATGAAAATATTTGACTATTTAAGATTTTTTATTTGACTATTGAAGATTTTGATATAAGATTAAATTATAATTGAAATCAATAGAACCAGTCAGTTTGTCCCTGACTTGTTTCATTTTGTTTTTCTTGTGGATTCTATTTAAAAATTTAAATGGTAATAGAAAAGCATATTATGACAAAAGTATATTATGATCATAATATTTAAGTTGAAAAATGATTTAAATTTAAATTGAATTACTTAATTTTCAACTAAAATTTTTATAAACTTTTTGTTACATTATAACTAATAAACTAAAACGAAACCCTCTTTCCTTGCATTTTTTATAAGACTCCTTAAAATTGTATTGGTTCAGTTTAATTTTAAATGGTACTTATTATTCAGAATTTTAAGTTAATTCAAACTTAAATTCAGACCGTTTATTACAATTTGGCTGTTAATTGAACAGTTATTGAATGTGAAAACTCATCCACCAGCTCCAAAAGGGCCAAAGTCCTTTGAATAATAATCAGTGTAATAAATCCATGTATTTTTTTATTCTTGTATTATGATATTTGTATTCTTGAAGATGTACCATATTTTACTATAAATTCTCAGTTAGTAGCCAGCTGGATGAAGGCATTCTAAGTTTATTAAAGGTTTGTTTAGAAATATACTAGTTCTATGATTTAATACGCCTACCAGTACATCTACACTCTTATACTGCAAACTGAAACAGTAACAATTTACTATTAAAATTAAACTACGAACATTTCATAAAAAAAAAATACAATTACAATTTGTTAACATCTAGAAAGAGAATATAGTAGAAGAAGCATAATATAGAAGGCCTTTAGCACTATTTTTTGCAGAAAACTGAATTAAGACTTTATAATCAGTACATTTTAGAAAGTTTTTGAATTTCAATTTAAAATGTTTGCCATTGATTACTTTTTTTGAAGAACACAAAAGCATAAATTTAGTTCAAACTTTTAATAATGTACTAAAATATTTTAAGTGTAATTTCATTAATATTTTAAAAACCTTTCCATGGAATGCTTTTACCTAAATTTTAATAGGCAGAAAATCTCATTACCTACCTGGCAAACTTTTATAAAAAATGGTTTTTATCTACATAAAAATTATATATTATTTAAACACATACTTTTAGCATATATAACAGTCATGACAATAAGGAAGTTCGCAAAGTTATTTTTTTATTAAAATTTGACTTACTCCTACTACTTACTCCAGTTAATGTTATCTTATTTCAACGAACGAACAATAAAAATACCGTTACATTATTCTGTCTATCCTAAACTGGTATTCTGTATTGATAACTAAACTTGATCACTTATGAATTAAATTTCATAAATTATAATATTGTTGTCAGTTATTCGTAACTTGGGAAATTGTTCCTTTAGAAAAAACCAAGCTTCTTTCGACATTGATCTCATTCCTATGCATTACATATTACACGTGCCCTTTTCAAGAAATTATCGTTTCAAAATTTATGAACATCAACCTATTTTAATATATAGACTACTTCCAATAAAAAATATAAACACTCACCGGCTTTCTTAACTGAAACAAGTAGGTATTTAATATCAAAATTTAATTAATCCTAATATGTCTAACAAGCTAGACGAATTGACAGGTCAATGGGGATGCCGCGAAAAAATTTGTTTAACGTGAGCCGCGGCCTTTTTTCGGTTGTTGAATGCCTCCATAAAAACATTGTAATGTTGCCAATAATAACTGTTATGAACTCGTATGGAATTGCCATCCTTATCATCAAGAGCGGCGAATGAATGTGAAAAAATGAGAAAGATGGATTGGTTTTGTAGTCTTTAATGAGATAGAACAAAAATCAATGATTTGTGATGGTGCGATTGGAGACATTTCGCAAGTCGGTCCACTTTTAGTTTTATTTCGTGCGTGCGATTGTTTTAAAGGTAAATTTTATTTGTTGCATTATTAATAATAATTTTAAGACCCAAGTGCGGAAGACAAGACGAGATAGATTTGTCAAATTGACACATATTTTAGTGTCAAAATGTAAACAAGAACAAAATAAATTCAACAATTTTAAAATGTTAAAAACATTTATTTTTATGTTATCAGTATCACAAAAACGTATTTATATTACAAAACACGGGCAGACAACAGTTTAATAAGAATAAATTAACTTTAATTCTGAGGTAGTTCTAAGAAATATTCAAAGATGGCGTTGTACCTTAGCTAAGCCCATTTATTTCTTGAGTTAAATCAAAACAGCAAATTCCGGTTAGTCCTTTAGAACCCGAGCCTTTTCCACCTATAGATATTTTTAGTCCTCTAAATGGCTCTTCTTCTAACGGTTCCGATGGTTCGTCAGGACATTCACAGATCATGTTATTGCTGATTGTAACTTGTTGATTTTCATTACATATACAAGATTCGTCTTCTTGTACATCTTCTGCTTCTGCAAAAGCCTTGTAATACATTAAGGCATCTTCGAAACTCATATTATCTTCAACAGGTCGTTTCGGTTTGGTTAATTTAAAACCTGAAGTAGTCTGTGTCAAGTCCGACTTCATTTTTCTCATGTATTTTTCATCAGGCACAATGTCGATATCTTCGATTGGGAGTTCTTCTTCTTCGGGACATTCACAAATAACTTTTTTATTTTTATTTTTATCTTTACAGACACAGGCTTGCTTCTTTGGTGTTTCCACACATTGCTCATGTTCTGCAGGCGACTTTCGACCGCCGCACAGACACGGAGATTCAAATTTAATTGCTTTAGCTTTCAATTTACACGCGCACAGCTTTTTGTCCTTTGTCATATTATTTTCACATAAACCGTTTTTATTTAAATTATCTGTAAAAAAAAATGTATTAAGAACAAGACGGATTCAAAAAAAAGAAAAAAACGATTTTTCGTGTCATTCAACATTAAGTGATGTCTAATCTGTTTTGATGTTTTAGCAATATTATGATGAAACAAACTGCGGCGCGGCGCTTGCGTTTAAAATGATGCGTGTAAAAATAGTTAATGTCCTGTAATATAATATTAACGTACGTAAATGTATTTAAAGTAAATCGTTGATAAAGGATCAACTTCGAGTCATCGAAAGAAATAAGTAAACTAGTAATACCTGCTGTTGTTAAAGTTGGTAAGTTTTCATTACAACAAGATGGTATCCCGCAATTTGCTGGAAAACAATTAAAATAAATGATTATTATTACAAAATATATTTTTAGATTTGTTGCTTAAATAAACTCGAGATATCCACCGTGTAACATAACTAGACAATTATGGTAATTAAATATATAAACTTCAACATCACGTTTCCGGGAACTTATTGGGATGTGATGGTAAGTTACGGCGAGAAATGCTTGGTTATTTAATCTTTTCGTATACAACTAATACCGCACGAAAATTTTAATGGTAATCACCTCTAGGAGGAAGTACGGCTAAGTTCCCCCTTGAAACCGGTGGAGAACAACCTACACCAGTAGACTTCATTGGCTTCGATGTATTAGAGAACGTTTCCACTTGATTTTCAGGGCAGCAGTTACAAGACCTGGACGCCTGGTTATAGTCACCAGGTTGACATTTGGATTTGGGCAATCTGATATTGGTAGGCTTCGTTTTAGCATTAGCGCTTTCGCTGCAAGTGGGTATTTTGCAGTGTCTAACCGGAGTCGGTTCCAATAATCTTGATCCTTTGTTAGGTAAGCAAGCTTCTTCGCTTAAACCTGAAACAAATTCGAAAACGTTACATTTAAAAAAAAGCGGTATCTTTACATCCTATTATCATATTAACTATTGTATTGTTACGCCGGTAAGAGTAACGCCATCTATCATCGAGATATAAACGAATATCAAAAGAACTACAAAAATCGAGAACGCTCGAAAAGTACAACGCCATCTATTAACAAATAGTGGAAATACATATCGAAACTTCTCGACTTGTCAAGAATGTTCTCGATAATTCTAGGGATGTAGTATCGACTATAAAAGCGTTGCAGAAATGGCACGTACTCAGTATGTAATCGGAACTACTCGAAGCGAAACAGCGAACGGATCACAACCGTTGTACTCTTAAAACTGAGACCTAAAACGTATGTCTTGAGGTGGGTGGCGGCATTTACGTCGTAGGTGTCTATGGGCTCCGGTAAGCACTTAACACCAGGTAGGCCGTGAGCTCGCCTACCCACATAAGCAATAAATAAAAACCTGAAGGGGAGCAGAAGAAGTGAATTAAGAATTTTAAAGTGTTCTGTGAGTGTTCTAAGTGACAAGACAGTGTTAACTTGTAATTCGGTAGAATTTTTATTTATCCCTAACCTCAATGTGTAACAGTATCAATTGTCTTCATGACAAATGAAGCAACGGAATTATAAAAAATCAATTGGTGCATCCATTAATGGGGTGCGTGGAAGAACTCACTGTCGATTTAGTGTTAAATTGTTACTAAAGCCAATTTTTAAAAAAATTTTTTTAATTGCTTAGTTGGGTGGACTAGCTCACAGCCCACCTGGTGTTAAGTGGTTACTGGAGCCCATAGAAATCTACGACGTAAATGCGCCATAAGATATAAGTTCTAAGGTCTTAGTATAGTTACAACGGCTGCCCCACCCTTCAAACCGAAACGCATTACTGCTTTACGGCAGAAATAGGCAGGGTGGTGGTACCTACCCGTGCGGACTCTCAAGAGGTACTACCACCAGTAAATACAATGGAAATTATAATGTAAACGAATCCACCCGATCGTATATTGGAAGACGGCCGACCGAACCTTGAAATCGGAACGCATGACTCCTTCCCGTGCAGGGTCGCAGTGCCCTCTACTACGAGTACCCGATTTATACTAAAATTCCTTACAGCATAAAAGTCATTAAAATTAAAAAGAAACATTAAAATACCTTGTGCAATCCCTTCATTGAAAATCATTGGAGTGATGAGTTCAGAAACAACGCTAGCCACGCATCGATCGTTTGAACCATAATTCGATTCCAATCTCTTAGGAGGACAACAGCAAGGTCTTTCCGAAACTGTATCTACTGAAACACAACGAGCACGAGGCGTTGTCTTCTTCAATTTCACTTGACACTGCTTATTGAGCGTTTTAGAGGTCCGTAACAATGCTTCGGAGGATGTATTGCAGCGGTTATTACGGAAATTATTGTCATGGTTGTCAGCTAACAGGCCACGCGGTGTATTTCTTCTACCTTTAGAAGACAGCTTTACTCCCATAGATGATACATATCTTCCGTACGTCGAGCCTTGTGAGAGAAAAAAAAAGTTAGATAGACCGAAAACCGCAGTGCTTATAGTTACTGGAGCCCATAGAAAGGACAACTTGGAAGCCCCGTCGCATTTTATGACATGGTATCGAAGTAATGTTTTTATTTTATCGCAGCCTCTTATCGGATGCAGTATCCTTGTCTGATTATCTTGTCTCGTTTGCTAATCCTGCATTGCTCAGAAGAAGGTAGAGAATAGTTTGATGAATGCGGAATGTTTAAGTCAGAATAACATATGTTTATCTCTGTGTATACAAATATAATGTTGAATGTTCGTCGTTTTGGTGTGCGTTGCTTCGAGGCCATAGGTACATACATAGTCATTTAGTTTTTTTTTTCGTTTACTTACTTCCACTATTCGTCCAAGTAGGAAAGTTTTCAGAAAGTTGTATACAGATAGTTGAGCTAAATTCTGAACAGTCGGTTTCATAATCGGACGCCGGTATCATCAGATAAACCGAGGACATATCTTCAATAAACTCTTGATTCAAAATATTATCAATAATGTCAACAATTTGTTCGTCACTGTTTAGATCGTTTACAACTAATATAGGATGATTCTGGTTGCTACTGTATGCAGCTTTATCGTTATAGACAGTAGATATATTATTATCTGTTTGGCGCATTGCAAAAATGTGCATGTTGTTATTTGGAATTTGTCCCTTTTTTTCTTCTTGCGGTACTTCTGATGAAGAAGCGCTATTACTGAAATAAATACCTTATTATAAATAAGGATACATACATGTGATAAATAAAATTTGAAATGAAAATGGTGCGCGTGAAAGAAGCTGTGCCGCTGCCGTTGCTGATGTCCAACGACGACGGTAGCTACTTACCATCACGCGGGCCGTATTCTCGTCTGCGTGCAAGGAAATAAAAAAAAAATAAAAAAAAAACTGAAACGCTCAATTCATGATTAGGCTTCAGGAGCCACTCATAATATATTAAAAATTCATTTTTTTTTATTATTTTTTTATTGCTTAGGTCTCAGTATAGTTACAACGGCTTCCCCACCCTTCAAACCGAAACGCATTACTGTATCACGGCAGAAATAGGCAGGTTGGTGGTACCTACCCGTGCGGACTCACAGCAGGTCCTACCACCAGTGTAGTAGTACTTATTTTCTTAACTATTGAATAACTTACGCGCGATGTCGGCTTAATATTGTCAGTGGCATGCTAGGTGTAATGGAATTGCTACCGAAACAACAATGAACTACCTAAACATGATCTATCGGTCTTTATAAAGAACACAGCGTTGTGCACTAAATAACCTTAATAAATTATAAACGTATTTAACTACTGCAGATAGGGCATAATGTGGGTCCGCACTGACAAGTTCCATCTACTCTTCTACCTCTAGGCTTCAGTTGTGTGTTTTGGTTTTAAGAATGGTGCAATAGTAAATACCATTTGAGACTTCGCCGTGATAGCCACGGGCTCCAGGAGTCGCTCAACTAACCGGGCATGTTCATTCGCTTGGCAACACTAACAAAAAACACTCGGTACATTACCTAGGCAGTGCATCAACAGCACTATAGTCGACGATATTAGTGAAATACTCCGTTTCTTCGGTTGTCAGATCACTGTGCGCTCCAGAGTGAGAGTAACACAAATATTCTCTCGATTTAGATGTCGAACAGCTGTCCACAAATGATATAATACTGACAGTTGCTATCGTCTCGTTATTAGTACGAAGACTCAAAGATGATTCTGTTTTGTATATTATAATCGAATCGAAACTTGATCCAGACGTGGCGGTCCCTTCTTTCGATATTAATGATATAGATACAGATGCTCTGTAACTTATTGATGTCGAAGGCACTTCGTAACACCCATCAATGTAATCTTGTAACAATTCTGGTTGTATACGTGAGACGTAATCGTAAATGTACGAGTATGCATTTTGATAGGTCTCTTCTGCATCGCATAAATTTTTTTTTTTGATAAAGCTGCTCGTCGTTTTAGTGTATGAATTTTGTTTGTTTGAACTACTATACCCAAGAGTGCACTCAGAAGACGACTCTTCTAAGTAATGCTTGTTAAAATAAATGAAATCTGGTTGATTTATTTTATTTGATAGATTCGTTGAAAAAGATGGGACTCCAACGGCACTGCCCACGGTAACCTTTATTCCTTCACTGTCCGTGAAAACTCCGTGTTTTACACCAGGTACGCATTCTTCAGGACAGGGGCAGAGCGACGATATATCCGGTGAAGTGACACGTATTTTGACGTAGCTATGTTTGAAACGGATTTTTTTCTTATCACAACCACAAGCTCGATCGCATTTTGTTGTTTTTGTAATATCTTCTAATTCTTCGTCGATGCCGGCTGCTTTGGCGCTTAAAGTTTTGGCACCTTTCTTTATCGATTCCCCTTTCTTTCCTCTTTTCTTTATTTTACCCAGTTTTTCTGAGGGCGTCGTTTCGGGCGGCAAGCCGGCGGCTTTTCGTACCTTTTTGACTAAAGCTTTTTCAGAGGGAGTTTTTCCTTCGGGCATAGGCAGACCGGCTTCCGCCAATCCTCTCAGAATTTTTTCTTTTTGCGCAGTAGTTTTCCCTGTGAGAGGTGTCAACAAACCGTCGGCTTTTGCTTTTCGAATGATCTCTTTTTGTGATAGAGTTTTAGGTACGGGAGGTACTCCGAGTTCAGTTCTAACTTTATGGATCAGACTTCTCTCCGATTTGGTCTTACCCTCTGGTAATGGTAGGCCATATTCAGCCAATCCTCTTAGATTTTTTTCTTTTTCTGTATTCGACTTTCCTTCTAGTGGTGTTAGCAAGCCGGCTGCCTGAGCTTTCCTGAGTTTTTCAGATGGTATTTGCGTAACTAATGATGCAGCAGAGACCTCTGGCTTTGTTTCTGCTTTAATTTTAGCAATTAATGCTTTTTCAGATTTTGTCCTTCCTTCTGGCAGAGGAATACCCATTTCTGCTTGTTTTTTCAGAATCTTTTCTTTTTGTGCTTTCGTTTTGCCTTCTAATGGTACTATAGCTCCAGCAGCTAAAGCTTTATTGTATCTCTTTTTCTCCTTTGCTGATTTCGGTTCTGGAGGTAAGCCTAAGTCTTTTCTTACTTTTTCCATCAATTTTCTTTCAGACGCTGTCTTGGCTTCTGGTAATGGTAATCCATGTTCCGCTAAGCCCCTCATAATTTTTTCTTTTTGTGCCGGTGTCTTACCTTCTAACGGAGTTAAAAAACCCGCAGCTTTGGCTTTGCGGAACTTCTCTGAAGGGATTGCTACTATTGATCGTTTTACTCTGGCAATTAAGGCTTTTTCTGAAGGAGTTCTACCTTCAGGAAGAGGCAAACCTAATTGAGCTTGTGCTTGTAATATTTTTTCTTTTTGAGAGTCTGTTTTGCCTTCAAGTGGAGTCAACAAACCAGCAGCTGCGGCTCTATCATACTTTTCTTTCATCGCAGCTGTTTTTGGTTCAGGAGGTAAGCCCATTTCCCTTCGAACTTTATCAATAATTTTTTTTTCGGATGGCGTTCTCCCTTCAGGTAAAGGTATACCGTTCTTAGCTAATCCTCTCAATATCTTCTCTTTTTGTTCTGTTGTTTTTCCTTCTAAGGGAGTTAGGAAGCCAGCTGCTTTAGCTTTACGTAGTTTTTCTGATGGAACTTTTATAGGAGTAATTCCTGTTATCTTTTTTATCAGAGCCTTTTCCGAAGGAGTTCGGCCTTCTGGTAATGGTATACCAGAGTCATACATTTTTTTCAGAATTTTTTCTTTCTCAGTATGAGACTTTCCTTCTAAAGGTGTTATAATACCTGCAGCTTGTGCTTTTCTATACTTCTCTTTTAATGATGGCGTTGAGGGCTCCGGAGGCAAACCGACTTCTTGACGAACTTTCCGAATTAAATTTTTTTCTGAAACGGTTTTTGGTTCGGGTAAAGGAATACCAGCTTTTGCTAGGCCCTTCAAAATTTTTTCTTTTTGTTGTGGTGTTTTTCCTTCCAACGGTGTTAGTAAACCAGCTGCTTTTGCTTTCCTAATTTTTTCTGAAGGAATTCTTCCAAGAGAAGTTCCAAGTGCAGCTGCACCTTTCACTTTATTTATTAATGCTTTTTCTGATGGTGTTCGTCCTTCAGGTAGGGGAATACCTAATTGCGCCTGACCCCTAAGAATTTTTTCTTTTTGATCGTTTGTTTTTCCTTCTAAAGGAGTTATGAGACCAGCTGCTTGGGCTTTGGCATACTTTTCTTTTATCGATTGAGTTTTAGGCTCCGGAGGCAAACCTAGCTCCACACGAACTTTGTTGATAAGTTTCTTATCCGAAGCCGTTTTACCTATTGGCAAAGGCAGACCTTGCATAGCAAGTCCTTTCAATATTCTTTCTTTTTGTTCTGGAGTTTTACCTTCAAGAGGTGTTAAAAGACCAGCAGCTTTTGCAGCTCTTAATTTTTCTGAAGTTATTTTTCCTGGAAATCGTCTTTCTCTTTCACTCTCAGGTGTTAAAAGATCGCAAATACATTCGTCGCTAGGTCCTTTGCCTTCTGTCATTACTTTTGCGGTCTGTGCATCTAATTCTTTAGCTTTTTCAGGTGGTAGTGCAGGTTTTCCAACAGAGACACCGACAGATTTTTTCTTTCTCTCGCTTTTAATTTTTTTTATTAAGGCTTTCTCAGAAGGAGTTCGACCTTCTGGGAGAGATATACCCATGTCTGCTTGTGCTTTTAATATCTTTTCCTTTTCGGCGTTCGTTTTCCCTTCAAGGGGTACTATAATACCGGCTGCCACTGCTTTGTTATATTTTTCTTTTTCCGCAGCTGTTTTTGGTTCTGGTGGCAAACCCAACTCATCTCTCACCTTATTTATTAATTTTTTTTCAGATGCTGTTTTACCTTCTGGCAGTGGAACACCATGTGCAGCCAAGCCCTTAAGAATATATTCTTTTTGTTCTTGTGATTTGCCTTCAAGAGGTGTCACAAAACCGGCTGCTTTAGCCCTTCGTAGTCTTTCTGATGGTTTTGCTGCGATCGACGGTTCTTTAGTAGAGGCTTTAATTTTTTTTATTAATGCTTTCTCTGATGCAGTTCTTCCTTCAGGCAGGGGAAGACCTAATGCAGCCTGACCTCTTAGAATTTTCTCTTTTTGTTCTGGCGTTTTTCCTTCCAATGGTATTATAAGTCCAGCAGCTTGGGCTTTAGCATACTTTTCTTTCTCTGCTGTTGTTTTTGGTTCTGGTGGCAAACCCAACTCATCTCTCACTTTATTTATTAATTTTTTTTCAGATGCTGTTTTACCTTCTGGTAAGGGAATACCGTACATTGCTAGTCCTTTGATTATTTTTTCTTTTTGTTCGGCGGTTTTGCCTTCTAATGGAGTTAGTAATCCAGCTTCTTTTGCTTTACGTATTCTCTCAGATGGTTTCATTTTCACGGATGGTAAACCAGCGCCAGTTTTGATTCTTTGTATCAGAGCCTTTTCCGATGGAGTCCTTCCTTCTGGAAGAGGTATGCCCAATTCAGCTTGTTTCTTTAGAATTTTTTCCTTCTCTGCCATAGATTTGCCTTCGAGAGGTATGATCATTCCAGCAGCTTCAGCTTTCCGTAGTTTTGCTTTTTCAGCTTCAGTTTTGGGTTCTTGTGGCATGCCTAGTTTTGTTTTAACTTTTTTTATTAATTCTTTCTCGGAAGCAGTTTTCCCCTCCGGAAGTGGTATACCTTTCATAGCCGCTTCTTCTAACAGTTTCTCTTTTTCCACTGCTGATTTTCCCACCATTGATTTTTCAAGGTTCTTAACTTTATCTTTTCGACGTTCTTTTGCGCTAGCCGTTTCCGACGGAATAGATGTTAATCGACCAGTAGACTTTCTCATTTCCGCTAGACGTCTTTCTTCTCTAGGCAAATGACCGCAAAGAATACAGTTGCAATTATCGCAATTCTTTTTTTTATAGCAATCGTAAAGACTTTTCATGACTTCGAACATAGCGTCAGAGTTACAATTACAGCAACAGCCTTCTTCTTGTGTGTTCATCTGACATCTATAAACTTTGAACCTTGGTTTTTGAACAGGATTAATAAACGCATTTTTGTTTGTTGTACTGTGTTCAGATTCCTGTTCGGATTCATTACTTACGATGTAATTAGGAAGCCTTGATCTTTTTGTAGATAATTCTGAGCTGCGTATGTGTTTTACACTCTCAAATGCAAGGTCAGAATAACTTAAAAATCTAGTTAACTTATTATATGACTCTGGTTTCTCCAGAGCCTGATATTTTGATTTTTTCCTTCTTTTTGATCTGTTCCGATTCTTTTTTGTAACAACAATCAAAATCTCTTGTATATTTTTGTCAGGATCTTTTGGATTTTCCATAATCTTTTGCCCATTCACAATAATTTCATTCATTTTGCCGATGTCTGTTTGCAATTAAAAAAAAAAATGGGACTGTTGCCTGTCGTTTATAATTTTCAAAACTTTATTTTTCACATTACTTCGTATGTAATGTACGTTTCTGTGGAAATTAAAAACAACCAATAGCGTAACTGAAAAATCCTCGTAAATAAATGAAAATAGCTGCTTGTCCCTTACAAATACCACAACTAACTAAAATTCATTTATAATTCAAGCTATAATCCGATATGCAGCTCGTAATTATTGAAATAATTACACAATCATATTGAATCAAGGCCCAACAGCTTATCGTTAAATTATAATTAGGCACGTAAACTTAATTTTTGTTTCGACGTTGTAGATCGTGGTACAGTTATCGACATGAATAGCGACACAAACGTCGGTTGACCGTCAGGACATGATGATACTACTAGATACTTTTCTTTATCTCAAGATAGAAGCTAAATACCACAATAAGAACACGTATGCCCACCTAGGGTTATAGTAACAATATTAATACAGTATTCGTATAATACTTCATATAGTAGCTAATGATTTCTATAAGGACTTCTGTAATAAAAGAATCTCATCGTGTGATAAAAATCAGACCGGTTAATTTAAATAAATCAATGGTGGTATTGTGAGTTGGCTACGGTATGTACCACCATCCCACCTAATTTCACTGCGAACCAATCATGCCTTTCGGTTAGAAGGGTCGGGCATCCAAAGCAGCTTTATTGGGACTCATGTCTTAAGGTGTATGGTGGCATTTATTTATTTATCCTATGAGCTTCGGTAACCAGTTAACAACAGATGGACAGTGATCTTTTCGAACCACGAGAAACCCCAGAAAAACTCATAAAAGTTTTGTTCCAATATACACGCATAGAGTTGAAAAAAATACCAAACCAGAGGATCTCAAGATTCATATTATCGACAATATATTTCCCTGTGGACACATCAAGGAAATATTTGATATCCTAAAACGGGCAAAGGGGTAGTAAAGTTTGTATCGTAGAAACATTTTGCGTTACGGTGATGGTGATTTATGAATAAAATTTTGCTTAACACAAAACAAAAAATAATGAAATAAGGAGTTGAGTATTTATTTGCATAGATTTATCAAAACTAGACTTACACATTGCATCTTAATTTTTATTGTGACCTGATAAGTCAATTGTAAACAGCGATTCTACTTGTTGTCATTCTTTTTTTAATTTATTTATATATTTTTTGCGAATTCTGGGACAAAATTATGTGTTACATATATAATCAAATTGCCTTTATGACCTGTTGTCATCTCTGATAGATGTCACTTATTGTACTACAAAAAGAATATACTATGTCTACATTTTAATTTATGTTTAAATTGAGAAATCTATACTAGTATATAAACCTACACTGGTTTTTACGGATGTTCCGTTATAACTACTGAACCATGCATCCGATTGACTTGAAACTTGATATCCATGTAGAAAATACATGTACTTAATAGATAGGCTAATATTTATATGAGTGTTGGACTCCCTACATCAGTTGCGGGGGCGTTAATGATGAGAATTTTTATGGGTGTGAGAAATAATAATGTTAATTTCAAATGCCCAGCGAAACGGACGGGTACAGCTAGTAAGTAATAAATTTATCTGATCGTGCTTTGGTTTGATTATATTACATATTAATAACTCGTGATATGGAACGCGCTAAAGTGCTTTGGTAGTGCGCCGCGTGGCTTCTCTCGCTCAGGTCGTCCCTAAGCTTCAACGGGGGGAGGACAGTTTCTAAAGGAAGCCATCCAAAAGCCCTTCGCGGTTTCTTGGCTCGACGGCGACTTATTGGTGCGGAGTGGGATGAGCTTTTGTTCTATCATTCCGCCGCCCTTTTTCTGCGAAATGCTGGACTCGCAGAAGTCGAACATCCCCATCCAGGACTCGTCGCTGTCCAGTACCACAGGCACTAAGGTCGGCAACGACAAGGCCGATGACCACATGCGCAACCAGAAGACGAGATACCCTCGGCTACGATTCTCTTAGTCTACGAATTCGTAGACCTCACTAGTCACAAGCCAGGCCATGCCTCCAGCCCGGACCGCCGATATTAAAACCTGTTCCAATTGCTACTGGTCCCTTGATAGTCGAAATTCGACTATAATTAATTGAAATTATAAGTTTGTACATGAGTATATTGTCAAAGACTGTTAATACTTCGAGATTTCACCAAGACTACACTTTAGACAAATATTAATAAAGACAAACAATATTAATCTATTGTCAATTTGAACACAGACTTTAGGGAATAACGAAAGTTATTCAACAATAAACAAACATTATGCATGCGTGTTTGTGTGTGTGTCAAATACTTGGTAGTGTGTGTAATGTTTTTTTTATTGATTTAATGTATTTTTTATGCATAATTTAAGAAAATATTAACATTTTGCACTCCTCCTGTATATTCTCTATAAGTGTGGGAAATTTCATACTCCTCCGTCCGTGCAATTTTCGTAAAAAGGGGTAAAAAATTTTTGTTTCACGTATTAATATATAGAAGATTTGACATATGTAAAGAAACTTTTGATGAAATATAATTTTGAAGAAATAGTTGTCGTCGTGGCCTAAAAGATAAGACGTCCGTGCATTCGTATCTAGCGATGCAACGGTGTTCGAATCCCGCAGGCGGGTACCAATTTTTCTACTGAAATACGTCCTTAACAAATTTTCACGATTGACTTCCACGGTGCATATAACATCGTGTAAAAAAAAGCAAACCCGCAAAATCTTAATTTGCGTAATTACCGGTGGTAGAACCTCTTGTGAGTCCGCACGGGTAGGTACCACCGCCCCGCCTATTTCTACCGTGAAGCAGTGATGCGTTTCGGTTTGAAGGGTGGGGTAGCCGTTGTAACTATACTGAGACCTTAGAACTTATATCTCAAGGTGGGTGGCGCATTTACGTTGTAGATTTCTATGGGCTCCAGTAAGCACTTAACACCAGGTGGGCTGTGAGTTCGTCCATCCATCTAAGCAGTAAAAAAAACGAATAAAAAATTGGATAGTAAAATACTCAACGTACCGTTCAAAGCGGAACACGTGACTGCATTTTATCAGAAATAGGCGGCCTTGCAATACGCCCTAACTTTGAAAACTAAACATTTTGAATCAAAAAATCTGTCTACCTAGCTAAATCCAAATCGGATAACACTTATGATAAACTAATACGTATTATTAATATGTAATAAAGTATTATTTATATAAATCACTAACAGCGCCTGACAACACTACCACCTCATTTGAATTGCGACAGTTTTCAAAAGCTACGTCATTTAATTCTTAAAACAACTCAAACTACCAGAACTAAAATACAAAATAAACAATAAAATTTCACCAACAACCTTAGAAATGTACTCTAATAACGGCGACACGAGAAAAAATGCCTTGTAAATGTACCGGAATCAAGGGGGCGAATGACAAATGTAGTTTGAATGCGTCTTTGGACATACAAAACCGCGGGCCGAATCGAATTGTAGAACTGAACGAACCGAAATGCAAACAGAAAGTAATCGTTCATCGCTGTAACATTTTCACGCGAACAGCAGAAAATATTTATGATAAATGCGCTTCGTATAATTTAAGGTAAGTAACGACAGTTTTATACTTATCGAGGCCTGTTAGATCGTCTCGTGTCAGTTCAATGGCAGGTGCTTGCTGAGATTTTTTAGTAAACATTTTTGAAGAACCCGACAAGGACGTAGCGGATTCTCCAAAAAGTCTACCGAAAAAGTCTCTGTAAATGACCACCATTTTACTGAGATTATATTTCACTTGAAATCATTTCATTTCATTTCATGCCGTTTCATATTAATCAACTTCATTTCACTTTATATTATCATTTTATATTTATTATATACATAAAACAAAAATATTATATATTTTTATCCTCCCGATCCATTAACGGTGCTTTTAGGTACGTCAAAGACCGGTCATCGTACTCGCCGAACCCGTCGCTTGCAACGAAGGGCTCGACGAGTAAATTAACCCATAGACACAGCCCACTGAGTTTCTTGCCGGATCTTCTCAGTGGGTCGCGTTTCCGATCCGGTGGTAGATTTTGCGAAGCACTGCTCTTGCAAGGGCCGGTTTTAGCAAGACTCCGGTTTGAGTCCCGTGAGCTCACCTACATCATCATCATCATCAAGGAGAACCTGAAATAGCCTCTCAAGGCTATAAAAATACGCAGGGGAAAAAAATAGTGCGGCGATTTTTTTTTCTAATAAATTTTTTATGATTTTCTTACAGATACTGCCCCTTTGGCCGTTTTGTCAAGTCCAACAATCATTTGGTCAACGTTTCCAAAGACGTGTTGATCTTATTGTGTTTCCTCATTGCAAATTTCATTGTTTTGATGATAATTATCTTTAATATCAGCTGCGATGTCTATTTTGGTATTAAGCAGGCTGCTACTCGGAGAAGGTTGGTATATGAAAGGTCAATAAACTGTGAGACAACGCAAAATATATTCCAGATTACTAATTATTTGTTACTCTTATATTACGTCAATTCTTCTAGTCTATATAGTAATACAGCGGTCGCTTAACAAGGTTTCAAGTCATCAACTTTAGTTTTCGTCGAACTTGTCCATTTATAAATGAAGTCGATTGATGGTTTCCATGAGCAACGGTGATCTCATACTGCCAGACGGTCAAATAAATCAGTGAGAACAGTGCATTCGTAGCGATAATAAAGTCACAGCTAGATAGTACAGTCTTTCCCAGTGTACATTTACCTAAAACAGCTATACTATTTTGGGGGTATACGACAAAGGGAAGATCTTCCACCGAGCGGGTGATATTGCTCGGTAGACCGACGGTACAAATGTTATTGTTCGGAACTTGTATTTAAGCAAGCTTATCTTGAAAATGTCGTAAGCGACATTCAGCCATCTGTCAAATATGTTGTGTTCTGTGATGGTTATCGCTACACTATAGATACATTATAGATGGATTCGTGCATCAAGCCAGACAGGAAACTAAGCAAGACGCTCAACGCTGTGCAGTAAAGTTGTTTTACTGCGCTCAAGTAGAACAAGCTTAAAGTCATAAGATCGAAGTCACATTAAAAATCCGAAGATAAATCACGCGACCACCATCAATAGTTATATCGACAGTTTCTGAAACAACTAAAATTCGACTTTATCTCCGTTGAAGATATGGTTGTTTTCATATACGAAAAATTGAACATATGGCTTTTTATTACGTAAGGAAGAGATTAAGTTTTATAAAAGCGCTGTAGAGTTTTAACGAGCGCTGCAGAGTAATGAACGTCTCACAAAAGGACGTTACTTAGTTGCAAGTCGGTCCTCAACGAGGATAAACTTCAACGCTTTTAAAATGCAAAGACTCTTCTTTAACTACATTGCTGTAGGAAAGTAGTTAAGAGGATATGTGTTTGTGCAAGTCGTTTCCTGTCCTTTCCTAGATATAAGTGAATTGTAAATATAAAACACTATGTACGAATATAAGAATAAAATGTACTAGTTAGGTATATATGTCCATTTGTATCAGTGTTTTTTATATAAATGAATTCTTTTTTTTTTATTGCTTAGGTGGGTAGACGAGCTCACAGCCCACCTGGTGTTAAGTGGTCACTGGAGCCCATGGACATCTACAACGTAAATGCGCCACCCCCCTTGAGATATAAGTTCTAAGGTCTCAGTATAGTTACAACGGCTACCCCACCCTTCAAACCGATATGCATTGCTGCTTCACGGCAGAAATAGGTGGGGTGGTGGTACCTACCCATGCGGACTCACAAGATTCAGAAAAATTCGCGTTACAAATGTTTTTTTTATTGCCCTTGTAGGCAGACGAGCATACGGCCCACCTGATGGTGAGTGGTTACCGTCGCCCACGGACTTCAGCAATGCCAGGGGCAGAGCCAAGCCGCTGCCTACCATTTATGCAACATTGATTTCGTATAAGAATAAGCTATCTTGAATTTAATATATCTATTATATTGTTTAGGATTTATAACACTAAATATACAATTTTGAAACATTTTCATCATTTACTTTGATGTTTTAATAATGATGATCTAATCGATTAACGTTTATTTGCTTCTAGTGCAGTCTTAACATATCGGAAGTTCATCCACTAGATGACTTGGTACAATAGAAAAATCAATAGAATCGTGAAAAACATTGTTAGACGATATATAACGAATAGCGTTTCGATTTATGTTCTGGATGGGTCTAGAAAAAATAGGTTCTGGAAAAGCTTAATAAATAAATAAGCTAAATCTAAACATTTTGTTGCAGGAGTACATCGTTCTAACGGCTCGGGATCAATTTAATAACTGATGTATATTTTTGAATTCTTGTTGTTTTTATTCAAATAAATGAAATGTACTGTTGGTTCTCCTATGAGGAAGAAGTTTTTATTGTAGCTTATCATAATATCCAAAATAAAATTCATTGATATAAAGACATTTTTAGTATGTACGCTTTTATTAGCTTCAGACGTATGTTTGTAACGGAATCTTTGAATATGATTTTGACCCCCTTTGCCTTTCCCTGCTACTTTTCAGGACTGTTTTTTAGGATATTATAAAAATAACCCTTCTACTCACATCTGTTCATAAAATATTTATAACTACTTATACCATGCACCACACGCTTTTTTACAATAAAATCATTTTTTCTTACACTATTTTTAATTCAAATTTATTAAAATTTATTTTCAATTTTTTAGTTGGTATTTCTATAATTGCGTATTTTGATTTTTTTTTAACTATTACTTATTTAAATAATTTATCTGGTCTAAGGGATTGACCGTCCCGATGTGGTCTAAAATTTTGATTGGATTTCAATTTTAATAGAGCAATTCAACGTCCGCGTGATCAGAGTTTAACTAGCAGAGTATAAATTTAATAACAGACGTGTAAACAATAATTGCCATGTTTCGACACAGATGCAAATTGCAATAGAAAAAGAGCAATTTATGAGGTATTTTTAAAATTACTTGGCAATATGTCTTCACGAAACTAATTAACGCTAACCACTTATTCACATCCTACTACTATGTTTCTAGTATAACGATATTTAAGACATGAAAACAAAACATTGAAAAATACACTTGTACATTTTATTGACTAAAACCATAACGTAACATAACAATGAAAAATAACCATAACGAAAACAAACACACTCTAGACCTAAGCAAAATCCAAAGACATCCTAAAAAATAAATAGTAAAGTTAATATTCCTCGCCGCCTTCTCCCTCGCCCTCACCGGAATCCATTCCCACCTCCTCGTAGTCTTTCTCGAGGGCGGCCAGATCCTCACGGGCTTCTGAAAACTCGCCTTCCTCCATCCCCTCCCCCACGTACCAATGCACGAATGCACGCTTGGCATACATCAAATCAAACTTGTGGTTGAGGCGAGACCACGCCTCCGCTATGGCAGTAGTATTGGACAGCATGCACACGGCGCGCTGCACCTTCGCCAAATCTCCACCCGGTACCACAGTCGGCGGCTGATAGTTTATCCCCACCTTGAATCCTGTCGGGCACCAGTCTACAAACTGAATGGTGCGTTTCGTTTTGATGGTGCCAATGGCGGCATTTACATCCTTAGGAACCACGTCTCCTCGGTAAAGCATACAGCACGCCATGTATTTCCCGTGACGCGGATCGCATTTAACCATCTGATTTGCGGGTTCGAAGCAAGCATTGGTGATCTCGGCGACAGATAGCTGCTCATGATACGCCTTTTCGGCAGAAATAACTGGTGCGTAGGTCACTAGTGGAAAGTGAATTCGAGGATATGGCACTAAATTAGTCTGAAACTCGGTTAAATCAACATTCAGTGCTCCGTCGAATCGCAGTGACGCAGTGATGGATGACACTATCTGACCAATGAGGCGGTTTAAGTTCGTGTACGTAGGTCTTTCTATATCTAGGTTCCTTCGACAGATGTCATAAATGGCTTCATTATCGACCATGAATGCTGCATCTGAATGTTCCAATGTGGTGTGAGTTGTGAGGATAGAGTTGTAAGGCTCCACAACCGCAGTAGAGATTTGTGGTGCCGGATATATCGCGAATTCAAGTTTGGATTTCTTACCATAATCGACGGAGAGACGTTCCATAAGGAGTGATGCAAAACCTGATCCGGTGCCGCCACCGAACGAATGGAAGATCAGAAAGCCCTGCAGTCCGGTGCATTGATCAGCGAGTTTCCTGACCCTGTCTAAAACTAAATCGACAATTTCTTTGCCTATCGTGTAATGTCCTCTAGCGTAATTATTGGCAGCGTCTTCTTTGCCCGTTATCAGTTGCTCGGGGTGGAAAAGTTGGCGGTATGTACCCGTGCGTACCTCATCCACTACTGTTGGTTCTAGATCTATGAATACTGCTCTAGGAACATGTTTACCGGCTCCTGTTTCGCTGAAAAATGTGTTGAAGGAATCGTCTCCGCCGCCGACGGTTTTGTCCGAGGGCATCTGCCCGTCTGGTTGGATGCCATGTTCGAGACAATACAGCTCCCAACACGCGTTGCCGATTTGCACACCAGCCTGGCCCGCGTGGATAGATATGCACTCACGCATTTTGTTTTATTTCAATATTAATTCTTCAAATTACACGAACTTTTATTTTGAGAAAACGCTGCTCCAACTGGATTGTCGTCCAAATTTGAAATGAATAATCGACGAGCAAAATTTTGTTCGGCTTTTGAATTTGAATGATACTTTCAAAGAGTACATATGATTTTTTTATAAACAGCACAAAGATTTCATTCAATCTGATTTCAAATAGTTTTTACGACACTGTTTGGCTAAAGATATTGACACACAGTGTTGTAAGTAATAGGGATACATACAATAAAGACCAGTTACAGAAAGCGCAGTTTAGCCGGTAGTGTTGTTAGTTATAAAAGGGAGTAACATACATAGTAGGTCAATATTCTAGGTTTTATATATAGTTTGAGTTTCATTGTAAAAACTTTAACACCGTAAAACAGCGGTCAGTGTCGTGAGACGCTGTCAATTTTCTCACTAACGCTTTTTCTAAATTGTGTTATTTCTTTCTAGCCTATATATAATTTAAAATCTAATATATAAAATTCTCGTGTCACAGTTTTCGTTGCCACACTCCTCCGAAACGGCTTGACCGATTTTGATGAAATTTTTTATGCTTATCCGGTATCTATGAGAATCGGCCAACATCTATTTTTCAACCCCCTAAATGTTAGGGGTAGTCCACCCCTAAATTTTTATATTTATTTTTTAGACAAAATTTTTAATTTCTATTTTTTTATGAGACAGCTTACAAAAATACATACAACCCTAAATTTTCACCCCTCTATGATCAACCCCTATTTTTTATTTGTTAATTATAAACTTTAATTTTTTTGGCAAGATTTTCATTTTTATTTTTAATTGGTCATGACTTAAAATAAAAAAAATCATATTACTCTCAATTTTCACTCTTATAGGATCAACCTCTATTTTTCCACCCCGATTAATATTTCTTTTTCTATGCACAAATCTGCAATAAGGTTGCAAGATGGCAATCAAATTTTATAATTGTAGTACGATAAGTTCTTATTCAGAGTTTATAATTTCAAGTTCCTTTAATTATGATTTTTTTTAAATTGCATTTGATCTCCCGCCCTCGCCGGTCGACTACTGATCAAGTATCAATTGATCAGCTATCCCCGCCAGGTGTCACCACTCATCCAGCAAACATCACGTAGTAGGGATGAGGACGAAGCCGGTCTCCTGTCTTACTTACTCACTATGCATCATAGATTATACACTTAATATATAATTTGAGAGCTATACAATACTATACATTTTTCAGCCATGTTTTTTTGGTTTTATTTGTGTATCAATAGTATGTTCAGTAGGTCTGAGAATCGGCTACTATCTATTTTTCCCCCTAAGTGAAAAGGGTTGTCCACCCCAAACATTTAATTTTTATTTAAATTTTTTGGATATTTTTTTTGTTTATAATGAGGTATTATGTGGTTAAATGAGGTTTTTTTTCTACAGTAGAATTTTCCTAGAAATCTTATTTAAGGCAACACAACGTTTGCCGGGTCAGCTAGTATATAATATATAAATGATGAAGAGGCCGTTTCTCTTATACACATCACTCCTTATCACAAGAGAAATTTGATTTAATAATTTGAAAAATGAAGAAAATCACAATACTACAAAAGTGTTAAGAAGAGAAACTACTAAAGAAGTTAAACTTCTTTTGCGAGCACCATTTTTTATAAACAAATGTTATTATAATGAATCATCATGTTTTAATATTAAAAACAAAAAGTGTGTGTGTCCGCTCCGACGCACGACTGGAGTTTACTGGATATAAAAAATTAAACGAAACAATACGAGAAATAGTTCTATATTACGACAACACGATACACTACAGATTATTAACAAATTAACGAGACACAAAACAAACGACTAACAAATATATGAAAATACAATAATGAGAGAAACGCGCGATCAGTACGAGGCTTTGTGGCGGACTGCCGGCGCAGCAGCCCGGCGTCACCTGCGATAACGCGGCCGCGCGTTGGCTCCTGATTGGCGCGCGCACGCATCACGCAATCAGGAGCCAATCAGGCGCATAACGCATTTCGTGTGACATGCTAGTACGATTTTGGTCCCCATAATTTTCATACCCCGGGCCTATATATGTAAATCGATTCTAAAGGAGTAAACTCCAAAAAAAAATTGTACCTTTTTAATATTTCTCTGTTTTCATTGCTATTTAGACATTACCTACATATTTATGTGCTCATCCATGTTCCTGATCCTCTCTGAGATCTCGTGAGCACGATTAAAGTCACATTCACTTTACTAACGTACCTATGTTTAATTTGAATGCAACATTTTGGTCACTTCTCGAATATGTATCCGAATGTACTCTATGCTTTATATTTATGATTTTATTGTGAAGGATGACATTAGTTTTTATTTTGAGATTTTGACATGGATATTACAGTATACTAAGTCCAAGTCTAATACTAAGTATCGTATTACTAAGTCGTCGTGGCCTAAAGGTTAAGACGTCCGGTGCATTTGTATCTAGTGCTGCACCGGTGTTCGAATCCCGCAGGCTAGACGGGTACCAATTTTTCTAATGAAATACGTACTTGACAAATGTTTACGATCGACTTCCGCGATGAAGGAATAATATCGTGTAGTAAAAATCAAACCCGCAAAATTATAATTTGCGTAATTACTGGTGGTAGAACCTCTTGTGAGTCCGCACGGGTAGGTACCACCACCCCGCCTATTTCTGCCGTGAAGAGTAATGCATTTCGGCTTGAAAGGCGAGGCAGCCGTTGTAACTATACAAAGACCTTAGAACTCATATTCCAAAGTGGGTGGCGCATTTACGTTATATATGTCTATGGGCTCCAGTAACCACTTAACACCAGGTGGGCTGTGAGCTCGTCCACCCATCTAAGCAATAAAAAAAAACCTTCGATATTCACGAGTTGAAGCCATATTTAAAACTACGTCTACGTAAGTCTCGCGTTTGATATATTTTTTATCGAGCGGCTGAACCGTAAAGGTGGCATTAATATGTCGTGTCGACTCTACTAATATTAAGACATTGTTTTGATTATCATTTTAAATGATAAAATATTTTTTTGGTAAATATCACAAAATGTAGGATAGACGCCGAACGCCAAAGTATAAAATGGCGGTACGTGGACAGAGTCGTCTCAGTCAGTCCCGGGCAGTCAGTCAGTCTGGTCAGTCAGTATCAGTCTGTCAGTCAGTCAGTCTCGGGCAGTCAGTCGGTCTGTTGAAACGAAACTATCGGTGTACCCTGTCATTGTGAAAATTATTTGTTGAGAGTTTCAATAATTATTATTTAAAAGGTTTCATTGACTTTTATTGCAATAAACTAAGTTCAAACGAATACGAATGATGACGGAAACTGCCGCTCAGCCATCTCTGGCGCCGTCAAATATAAAATATAATACACTTAATAGATAAAGACTGTGGTATCGCCTCTGCAGCTCACTTTGAGAATTAGTTTCACTCGGTCGTTTTATTTTATCCAGTACTCGTCGTTTAATAGCGTCTGCTCACATGGGGTTTTTGTAAAGAAGTTCGTCTCGGAAACAAAATTTCAAATATATATGCACGATAGTCCGATAGGGGACTGCGTTGTTGTTCGAGCCATCGGAACGTTCAGTAATTCAATAGTAATTCAATCTTGTTGGAGCTCGTTTCATCCATGCAGAGTGTGCGGTCACAGAATACACCTTCTAATACCTCGTGTCGGGCAGATACGTGCGCCAAATAGACTGCATTCAGAGGAGTAGATAAACTTACAGAATACTGGTGCCCGGAGCTGTAAATACAGTTGTGAGTCCCGTACGTAAGGTGGAAAGCGGTTTTTGAGTCAAATGACATCAAGAAGAGCTTACATATCCATTGAATACAAAGAAATCACTTAAACGTGGTTGTATCTGGGCGATGCTATGCATGGCTTACCATTTACCAGGAGTCATCGTTCGCGTCGAACCCGTCGCTTGCGACGAAGGGCTCGAGTAAATTAACCCACAGACACAGCCCACTGAGTTTCTCGCCGGATCTTCTCAGTGGGTCGCGTTTCCGATCCGGTGGTAAATTTTGCGAAACACGGCTCTTGCTAAGGTTCGTGTTAGCCATGTCGTCAGGTTTGAGCCCCGTGAGCTCACCTACTAGTTAGGGTTACGCTCAAATAGCCTCTCAAGGTTATTAGCTTAGGTAGGAAAAAAAAAGCTCTGCACGCATTTGAGCGAATGCGTCTTGGTGTACGGTCCACCGTCTTTCGACAGTCAGTACTGCACAGTACTGGATGTTGAACGTTGTCTTTGACGATTAGTAGTGTCCCTATCGCGGCGGGTGCACGGAACTCTGTCCGTGACAGATAGTACTACCCTATGTGACCGTTATCATTCACGATTGTCATTTAATTCATTCAGTCTCCATTTGTATAGTTCATTTAAATTACTGGGCTACGATCAGTGATTATTTAATAGCAATAGATTCCTATGTGCTACACCTCGGTTACATTCTTGTTATCTGAGTCTTAATCCGACATATATGTATGTAATTAGGCAGAAGAGTTAATGTTCACTCGGTGGTTGAAGGAATCCCAATATTAGAGAATTAATGATTCGTAACGTTCATGACTTTATCTAATCTTCATGTTGATTTAGGTCTTGAATTAATCTGTCGGTATATGAAGACAGCGATTTGAATCGATAACCCAACAGGGTGGCAGCTATTTTTTTTTTTTAGTGCTTAGTTGGGTCGACGAGCTCACAGCCCACCTGGTGTTAAGTGGTTACTGGAGCTCATAGACATCCACAACGTAAATGCGCCACCCACCAATGAGATATAAGTTCTAAGGTCTCAAGTATAGTTACAACGGCTGCCCCACCCTTCAAACCGAAACGCATTACTACTTCACGGCAGAAATAGGCAGGGCGGTGGTACCCACCAGCGCGGACTCACAAGAGGTTCTACCAAGCGAACGGCGAGTTTTGGTAATCAATTTAAATAATAGCATATTCCTTTTTTATGGA